CTTCCAAAAGCATTTTCCTCAGGCAGCTTTGCCTACTAGGACGTAAACTGTAAGCTGTCTGGTTTAGCAAACAGTGCTGTACCCACAGGTTTTCCAGGGATTCTGGGTCTCTGGGGATCATGAGAATGTAAAAGACAGAGCCCCTCCTCAAGGAGGATCACTTGAATTTCATCTGCTAAAACATCTGGATAGGAAATTCAAAACTACTAGTAGAAAAATTCAGTTAACAAGAGGCAAAGTGCAAGGAATGATCAGTAAATAAAACGACAGTAAAATAAATGCCTTCAGTATAGGCCTCAGGGCACAGGCAGAGAGGCCCCGAGGCAGCAAGTCACGGACTGCCTGTGGGTAAGGTGAGTTTTGCATTAGGGAAGTAGAGTATTTTAAAGGCCCGTTGTTTTGTTTTGTTTTGTTTTGTTGCTTCAACACTGGCTTCAGGAGAAAAAGGGAAAAGGAAGGAAACTGCATTATGTGTATCCATTACATGCCCCTAGATGGACACTTTATTTCTGCTCTCCTATTGAATCTGTAAACAAATATGTGAAGCGTGTAGTATTTTCCCCATTATTGATAAAGACAACGGTTGAAAGAAGATAAGAACAGTTGTAGCTGGTGTTTAAACCGAGGGGTAACATTGGCCAACCACACTGCTCCCTGAGTGAGGCGGGTTCAGGGGGAGAGTGGGGTTAGCAAAGGGCAGCGCTTGTGTTTTTCAGAGTCTTGGGCCAGGCTGCCTGCCAAAAGGATTTTTTCCACTGGTCCAATGTCAGTTTCCGAAAATTCACCATAATGTTATTACCTTCTCTTTTTCCACCTTTATAATGTGAAATATGATCATATGAAAAGAGAGGAGCGAGTCCTGTGCACCACAGAAGAGAAAAAGGAACAGAGTTGGGAGACAGTGCAAACACACTTTACCAATTCCTGTCGAGCCAAAGATTGGTTTTGCCCTCAGAAATGACTTTATAATCTGGGTTTTTTAAAAATGGAATGCAAAAGTATTGATGTTCCATAGAATAATAACAACAGTTACCATATATTAGATAGAACCAAATTAAATGGCCAGTGTCCAGCCATTTATTGCCCCCATGGCAATTTTATATTGGTTCAGACTAATACTTAATGATTACTCCAAGTTAGGCACTGCAATCCTCTGTATATTCTATCTCACTCAATCCTCACAACTTCCGTACAGTGAAGTTCATGGTTGCCTCGTTACAAGCAAGGCATTCTCTGCTTTCAGGAGTTAGGCTGGAATTCTAGATCCTAAATCCAGGCTAAGTGGTAGAAGACAAGGTAGGTTTGGAGAAAGTGCGTTTGCCTTGCAGTACGTGGGATATACATGACAGAGGACCCAGGGAGCCGCGGGGGCTGCCTTCATGGTTCCGTTAACTTGCTCATGCAGGTTCTCCAGCAACCTCTACGTCACTAAATTAAAGGACTTTGTTTTATTTGGCCCCTTAGAAGCATTCAGTAGCCTATTTTTCTAGAAAAAAAAAAAGAAACCTGTATCTTTTCTTCCATGGCACTATCAGGTTTTATTATTATTGTTTGTTTTATTTTCCTTTTATTTATTTATTTTTTCTTGCCTGATTGGCTGCTCCTTTTTTTTTTTTTTAATCCCCCCTGCAGGATCCTTGTCTACCCTTCCATGAAATTTTGGAGTCTCTCAAAGCTCTATCTTAGAATAGAATGCCTAAGATTCTCTTATTACTCTATATTTTCTCCTGGGGCTGTCTTATCAACACACTTGGTTTCAGTATATGCATAACCCCAAATATTTTTATCCGAAATCCTGTCTCCTCCTCTTAACCCAGATCTAAACATGTAAATGTCTACTTTACACTGCCACTTGGCTATCTTATAGGCTTTTAAAACTCACCAACTCCAAAGCTGAATTTAATATCTTTCCTTTCAAGTCTGATCCCCCTCCAATAAGCTCCATCTTAGTTAAGAGCATCATCGTCTAGTCCCTTAAGTATTTTCAGCCTAACTGCTGGACTTCCCTAGTGGCTCAGTGGTTAAGAATCTGCCTGCCAATGCAGGGGACACAGGTTCGAGCCCTGGTCTGGGAAGATCCCACATGACGCGGAGCAACTAAACCCACGCGCTACAACTACTGAGCCTGCGCTCTAGAGCCCGCGAGCCACAATTACTGAAGCCTGTGCTCCTAGAGCCCGTGCTCCGTAACAAGAGAAGCCACCACAATGCGAAGCCCACACACCGCAACGAAGAGTAGTCCCCACTCACAGCAACTAAAGAAAGCCCGCACGCAGCAATGAAGACCCAACGCAGCCAAAAATAAATAAATTTATTTTAAAAAACCTAACTGCTTTTCACTTCTGTTTACTGCCCACCATGGTTGTTACTATTATCATAGAAACATCCATCATGTCTACGCTGATATAATGGCCTTCTAACAGGACTCGGCATTTACTTTATCCCTTCTAATCTTTTCTGTAAATTGCAGGAAAAATAAATGTAAATATTATCACATCGCACACCTCTTCTTTCAAATTTTTCAGTACCTTCCTGCTATTGTAAAGACATGTTCATTGTATACCATGTTCCTGTTGTTTCCGTGTTGCTCCACTAAGCTGGGAGGGTATAGAAAATAACTTGTGCAAAGACCCTGGGGTAGGGTAAATAACTTGAAGAGTCCTGAACATGCCATTTTATCTCCTACCACAGGGCCTTTGCACAAGCTGTCTTCTCTTCCTGGACCACTTTGCCCATCCCCATTCTTCTTGCCTAGTTGGATCCTATTTTATACTTAAAATCTCTGGTCTCTGAGATTTTCCATATTATATTATTTCCATATTATATTATTCCATTATTATATTATTTTGTAGGATTATATACCTCCTTGTTATAACATTTATTACAGTCAGTATTTCATATCATTGCCTTTTTTTAGACAGAAAATTGAAATTTATAAAGGTAAAGTAGTATACCTTTGGTTACTCATATTAAAGGTGGCTAAAATTAAAGTCAGATCCAAAATTGCCAGACCCCCAACCCCTTGCTTCCTGCTCCTCATTGTGCTGGTTCTTGTGTAGCACTCTGAATCAAAGGCATTGAGAGCACCATCGTGGTAACTACACCTGAGTCTATAAATCCACTCGCAGTCTTTGGAGTTTTAATTTCACTCTTGATTTTGAACTCAGAAATGATTTTATGCATTTCCCCAGGCTATATTTGACTAGCTTTAAAAACTAACAAAGGGCTTCCCTGGTGGCACAGTGGTTGAGAGTCCGCCTGCCGATGCAGGGGACGCGGGTTCGTGCCCTGGTCCGGGAAGATCCCACATGCCGCGGAGCGGCTGGGCCCGTGAGCCATGGCCGCTGAGCCTGCGCGTCCGGAGCCTGTGCTCCGCAACGGGAGAGGCCACAACAGTGAGAGGCCCGCGTACCGCAAAAAACAAACAAACAAACAAACAAAAAAAACACCCAGTAGATGTTATGCGGAGATCATTGTTTAGTGGATAGAGTCTTATTTCTTTTGTTTTAATAGGTATTGTTATCCACCATTTTCGTAGTTCTTTTTATTGGCAGAAGCAGGGTGGAGTAGATTATTATATGTAAATCATGCTTATTCCATTAGAGTCATCAACTCACAGCAATTAAATGAAATGGAATTCTTTATAAATTGGTACATCTACTTACTTGTTTCCAAATTCAGTTGGAAGATTTAATGAGCTTACAAATGTGGATGGAAAGGATGACATTCTTTAAGATGGCAAGATACCCAAACAAGGTCTCAGTGACAGGTTTTTTTATCTCTTTAATTTGAACCTTTCAAAATTTAAAATGTCAACCAAGGCTTGCCAGGGCCACACGATTGCCCCTCTTCATTTAATCAGAAATGTGGATAATGTGGTATTTCTCTTAGGTTTACTTTCTGTTTTTGATACTCCAGTCTGAATAAAGACATTGAAAATGTAAATAAAGCCTAAGAGGGGAGAGAAGAGAGGATAGTTCTTCTAATACATTGTTTCCCAATACACTGCTGCAGGAAGAAGCTTTAAAATGTACAGTCGTATCTGAAGAGAGGATATAGTGCATGATCTCAGGAAAGAAGGAAAGGAGAGAGGGAAGGAGGGACGGAGGGAGGGAGAATGAAAAGAAGGGAAGGGAAGGAAAAAGGGAGGGGGAGAGAGGGAGAATGAAAGGAAGGGAGGGAGGGAGGAAGGAAGGAAGAAAAGAAAGGGAAAGACTGTAGTCTCTGTGTTGTATAAAGAGAGAAATGAAGACAAGAGGAGGATAATTAACAGAAAGAAAGTTCTGAGATCTATGGATAAAAAGGTCTTGATGACATGGAAGAACGGTTTCAGTAGACATATTTCCGAAAACGAGCTAGAAGTGTAAATGTCAATGTCTGAAAAGTGAAATGCTTGTGTTTGAATTCTTGTCACTTTTTGCAATATAAGATGCTCTAAGATATGACCTTGGTAGTAGAGGTTGAGGTTGCTGTGCCAGATCATTGGTATTGAGGAATGAGTAAATATTCACATGTATATTGAAGTTCTCTTTCATTAATGATGTCAATCATAGTAATGGGTGGATGAATGGGAGACTGACGGCCAGAGACCAAATCAGAAAATGCAGTGGCATCAGTATCACATAAATTGGAAGTCATCACCGGCATAGGAAAGTTCTGATAGCAGATTATTTGGGGCCCCACCATAATTTTTAAAATGTCTGTTCCCAGTATGTTCTCAAGTCATGAAATGTCTTTTGATAATAACATTCATAATTGTGATATCTGTGTATGAGTTCTGATTTAGCCATGCACATACAAAAAAATAAATAAAAGCGGCTGTCCTATAGACCATTGCAAAGAAACTGAATCATAATAACGTCCTCGTGTTTTCCTATTCATGACAGGAACAAAAAAACTTTGCTTTGAAAGGCTCCTACCAGTTCAGAAGTACGAGGACGGAGATTGCCTCTGCTGTGCCGTGCTAACATCCGCTTTAATTCTCTTTTTCAAATTCACAGAGAGTGAAGAAGTTTATCAGAGGCAGGTGCTGTCAATTTCATGTATCATCTTTGGAATTGTCATCGTGGGCATGTTCTGTGCAGCATTCTACTTCAAAAGCAAGTAAGACCATTTCTCTCAGTGTTAAAAGGTTACTTCTCAGAGGAAGTACTTTGTCTTTCTTTAAAGTGCTGAGCTCAGTACTCGGTCTGAGCTCCAGGCAGAGGGATTTTGGGCAAATTGTGTCCATCAGACTTCCATAAGTAACTCTCAATCTTTTGTAGCCTGTGGTGAATGTGTACAGTGTGTGCATGCATGTATGTGTGTGTGGTTTATCTTTGATGCACGTAGCGATCATTCCTCTCTGTAATCATGAACACTCTGTGTTCTTTGCACTTTCGATTGCCTGCCGGAATTAAAGGCTCAACATTTGCCTGTCACTAAGGGGTTAAGTCTTCTGAAAAGAGAGGTCACTGCTATAGACATAAACATTATCAACTAGTATCTAGCCTTTCATGGAAAAAAAAAACCAAACAATTTCCTTTTATAGTGTTTTTACCTGCTACCCATCAAGGTTTTAGCCAAATATGAAGTATGAATACTGTAAAATCTACTTTGCTTCACCATTTAGTATGCACGTCTAGAATATGCCCTACACTTACCTTGCCAAGAAACCAAACCTTCTGCCAAAAGCACTGCTTTTTTGGGGCTAATAAGGTAGAATTAAAAATATACATATATATGTATATAAGTATGTATGTGTGTATACATATATATTTACTCCACATAACTTTGGTAGAGGTATTTTATTTATGTAAATGACATAATCTACACTTAAAATAAGAAATGCAGATAAAAATATTAAATTTCTTGGTTTCTTAGAACGTATGCAGGCCTTGAGAAGTTGGCACAGATTCTGTTCCTACAGCTTGTCGGAAATCCAAGCCAACATGTAATTGCTTTTCATTGGACCTGTATTTTTCTACCCATTTGCTCTTCTAAAACTGGACCAATTTCCAAATACAGTCTGTGATACCTGTCTTCATGTCGTATATGTTGAACTTTAAAAGGAACAGCGATTAATGATTTTAAAAAATAATGGAAACTCGGGTATGAATCCAGAATTAGTGACTATTATTTTTTAATACACTATTTCAGAATAGGTTTAGATTTGCAGAATTACCGTGAAAATCGTACAGATAGATCCAATGTACTAGAATGTACACTGCCCAGAGAGAGTCAGGACTTACCCAAAGGCTTGTATTCTCTTGCTTATGTATGTTTTCCTTCCCATAATCCTTCGAATGCTGCCACTCTGGTCCTTTCTCCATTCTCTTGTCACCCGTGGTATGGCATGACCTCACCCGATGGAATATTACAGCACATTGTTAGCTGATGAAAGTTTGAACATAGGTAACATGAAGAGGTAGAAGTGAGCAGCACCTTCTTGAATTTAGGGGATTTTCTGACTGAGTTAATTGAACTCCAACAAGGGGATTGAAGGGCACACTGAAAGAAATTCTTTTATCCTCACTCCCAATAAGCCCGTATATTCCTATAAGTAGTTAATCGAACTATTAATTGAGCCTTTCATATCTGACTGATATGGCTCACATAGCAACTATAAATTCTTCTAGGTTTTCTTTTTACTTTTAACTCATATGGGCTAAGAAGTGTAAGGCTGGGAGTCCTTAGTAGACTTTGGAAATGCAAGACATGATTCAACTCTAAAAATGGAATCAGAATAGGAGAAGAGATGTTCCAGGAGCAGAATGATTTGTTCCAGGGACAAATAATTATCACAACCGGGAAAGCACAGGAGGAAAAAGGAGAACCGGTGCTACCAGTAGAAAGCAGATGTGCTCATAACTTGCCCTGACTATAGGTTATCACCCTCTGAAGTAAGAGATTTTAGATCACCAAGTAAGGCTCTTAAGGACAGGCAGTGGATGTTCTGATATGATGCTATGATTCTCTTCAGCTGTGGAGGTCTAAGTCCCCCAGCTGCTAGTACACAGCTACAAGAGTTACCTGACCCGAGATAGCCAGCATCCAGTGACAGGTCAATGTGAAGCTTTGAAGGCCTAGACCTTTGCCCCAACTTGGGGTGCAAGGCCATGCCAGTTTCCGAGCTCCCCGTGGGATTTGCGGAGGTCTTCACTGAGACTGTATCACATTCCAACTTCTCCCTCTGCCCAGTCCTGCTTCCTTCCCTTCATTTCCACAGACGTTGATCCAAAGAGCCCTCCCTAATAAAAATCCTGCACGCTATCTCCATCTCAGTGTCTGCTTCCCCAGGAAGGCAACCTGTAACATTACAAAAAACGTCTCCCGATGGACTGGTGATGCCTGATATTCCACCACTTTACACCTCATTTCTTTCTGATGAATTGAGCCAGAGCAACTTGAAACTCACTGAACTATAGAATCACACCGACATTGTTAGGCTAGTAGGTTCCAGTGTGAAATGCCCGTATCTTGTCTTCCCCAGAGCAACTGCTCTCATGAGAGAGCTAATGGTATTGCAGCCGCTTCTCACTTCCTTTGTTCCCACTTGCTGAGGGGAGGAGGAAAGAGCAAAAATGTGTGTGCTTGGGAGATCAGAGGGATGATGGGGAAGGAGGCAGGTTCAGAAAAGAAAGCCCATTGATTCTGGAATATTAGTGAGTCAGTATGGGAGCAAGAAGAGAGTAAAGGAAAGCAAATTATAAAAGGGATTTAGGAAATGCAGTCAGAAGTTTTTATGAGGAAAATTCCTTTAGAATTTTACATTTCCCAGACGCCGAATTATGGAATTACTGAAAAGATCGTTAGTATTTCTACTATTTAATTCTTAGGAAATTAATTGGGTCCTGACTCTGTGCCAAGCCCCCTTTTACTACTTCATGATGATTCACTCAGTAGAACTTCCTCATCTCCAGTTGGCTTCATCAGTGAATCCCTGATAGGATTTTGTGGCTAACATGTGCTTCTTAAAATGCTGATATGATAGATTTGTTTCTAACAATAGGCTACAGATTAGCTGTTAGGAAGTAGATAATTACAAGTGCATTAAAGCAACAGAAGTAAAAGCCCCCCAAATGATTGAAAAGATAAAATCAATATTTAAACAGAGCTACATCACACCAGTATTGTAAATTCAAATGATGTAATGATGCTCCAAGCCTCTAAATACTGTAGCAAATACTGTGACTTGCTTGTGAGAGAGGCAATTAACAAGATCTCTTCTTTTATCTTGGAGCCAGTGTTCTGATTCCTCTGCAGCAGCTGCCCGTACAACTAAGCATGTGTCCTCACATTTAGTTTCCACAATATTTATGGAAGAGAGCCTTTCCAAACTCCATTGACAGATGAGGAAACTGAGGCTCAGGGAAGTTTTAGAAATCAATCATTTTGATTTGGGGAATCAAAGCAAAGCTGGTGGGTGGCAGAGCCAGAATTCAAATCTCAGTCACTGTGATACTCGAGCCCATGGTGTATAGAGTGCCGTCTCTACCTGGAAAGGCTCACTGCAAGAGATGGTGCACAGTCTCCACCAAAGGCTCTCTCCTGGGCACGGACCTTAGAGAAGAGGCAAAAAAGTCTAGGGGGGGATGATTCTGCAAAGTTTTTTTTGCCTGTTTATTTGTTCATTTTATAGGTACTGAGTCTTCTGCTGATAGATAATTGCTGTAGAGCTCTTGGGAGAGAGCAGCTAATAAGCCAGTAATTTGTCACATCCTTCTGATATAGCCACTGAATGGTCCGAACAACAGTCACTCCACATCTGCAGAAATATTTTACTTGGAGTCCCAAACCTGAGAATAATCTCAGCCTTCCCATCAAGAAGCTGCATGACCATGGGCAAACGGCTTGACAGTCGTGAGCGGTGGCTCAAAGTGCAAAGTACACAGCCAGACTCGCTGGGTTCAAATCCAGCTCTACCACTTACTAGCTATGTGACTTTGGGCAAATTATTTAACTTCTCTGTGCCTCGGTTTTCTCATCTGTTAAATGAGTATAGGATTAATGCCTCATCACACACGAATTATCGTGAAGAATAAGTAAGTTGAGACATGTAAAACACTTAAAATGATGCTTGGCACATAGTAGGTGTTCTTTAAGAGTTAACAATTTTTATGATTTACAAAAGTTCTAATAAAAATCTACACTCAGGGCTGATGGTAAAAATAAATGAACTGTTTCTAAACTGTAAAAAAGAAAATAGACCCCTGTTATGGTATATGTGCAAGCTATGCAGTCAAGTCACACTTATATGAATTGGACAGATATAAACGTAACTTTGCGTTTATATGTGGTTGTGTTATATGTGGTTGCTAGGTCTAAGCTTCAAAGTTTTCCACTTGTCACTTCTTCAGAGCATTCCTAATTCTTTTCAGTTGAGCACTCAGGGATAGGGACCTCTTGCATCCAATAGGGACAGGACAAGGAATTACATTTCTGTCTGCCTTTGGAGTGCCACTGGGTGTGAATCCTGGATGATAACAGATAATGCCAGTATTTCTTGGTGGGGTTGAAGATGAAGGGAGGATTCTCTTCGTTAAGTGAGTTTATCTAGCTTTAGCAAATGACAAATATAGATGTTGGGAATGAATGAACCTCAAAAAATATGAATAGGATAAATGTATGTAACTATTTATACATGGATTTATTTAAACCTGCAGGAAACAAGCTAAACAAATTCAAGAGCAACTGAAGGAGCCACATCACGGTAAAAACTACAGTCTCAAAGCATCCAGCACAATGGCAAAGTCAGAGAACTTGGTGAAGAATCATGTCCAGCTGCAAAACGTAAGTTACACGTCTATACATCTCTTCCCACAGTCCATCTCAGTGCTTCCAGTCCAGAGGGGCTGGGGAGCCTGTGATCAGACTTGCATATTTTTTTCAGTACTCTGTAGATTTCTCCTTAAATCATGTTGCATTTTCATGTGCGCACACAAGTACTGGATAAAAGAAAGAAAAATTAAATCTCAGCTCTTGATTACAATCTGTAATCTAATTAATCTCTGGAAGCAAAAAGAGCTTCAGTTGTTTGTTCCATAATCTCTTACTGAATCCTTACTTATCAGCAATGGAGCTGGGCACTAGGGTTACAATGTTCCCTACTGTAGGAAACTGATAGAGTAAAAAATACAGACACCCAGAGGAGGCTTGTAGGATGAGATGGTTGATATTGCAGCAGAGATCGGAGAAGAGACCAAAGGGAGGCGGTGGGGGCAGAAGTGGAGGCAGCCACAAATCCAGGCTTGAACAGGATTTTGAAGAATATTTAAGGTTCACCAGAGAGTCAAAGAACAGAGAACACAAGACTAGAACAAAGAGAAAGAATAAACCCATGGAATCCTAAGAATACATGCTACGTTGAGGCAACTCTGAGTTAAGGGGTGTGAGAGAAATCAAAGGTCAGAAACATGGGAGGGAAGAGTTGTGGTCCCAGAGTTGGGACTTCCTAACACCAGGCCTTAAACAGATACCAGAACTTGAAGTTAAATAAATGCAAGCTCTTTGAATCCTACATTCTTTCTAAAGTGGTTTTAAACATTTCTGAGCTATATTACAAAACACTAAGTTAAAGACAAGCAAATGTTCCCGAACAGGTCCTGCTGCTTTGCAGCGCGAAAGAAAGCCAGTACTCCAGAGACAAGCGTAACTCCCAAGATTTTGCTCTGTGAAAGTTTTTAAGAGAGAATCGAATCATTGGCCCGGGGGGTGGGGCAGGGAGTCAGTGTCTTCATAATCTTCCACTGTGTGCAGACTTTCTTCTGATTGGTTTGTGGTGAGGTAACAGGGTGGTAGTCCAGGAATCTGGTGTTCAGCCTGAAGTTGCCATCCTCTACCTAAGTAGGGGCCTTAGTTCCTGCAGAAGAACTCAAAGATATCGTTATGAATATTTCATGAGAAGGAACCAGGCCCCTGCCCCATGCAGTGCTATTGTTTCTTGACTGTTCCGCTTTGTTTCTGCATTCCCTCCCTTCCCTGATTAGTCACTGTTTAAATCTGCTCTTTGGAACTAAGGGAGGGTCAAGGAGGCTGAATGAAGCCTATTTCCTACAAACCAGAAATGAGGACACAGAAAGGATTTGTATCCGGCAGGGCCCCACAGGGTCCTGCTCCATTTCACAAATGCCATATAAGGCATACTGGAAGATTCCTATTAGGGTAGCAATTCTTTGTCCCCCACCAGATTGCACTTCCAGATTCTGAGACACAAAACGAAAGCACAAAGGCCATGATATAAACCTAGTATTTGAGTATAATACGCAATCACCCAGGACACATTGACACCCCTCCAAATGCTTGAATCACTGGGAATTTAAACATCATTTGTGATTTTAGGAAATCATTACCCCAAAAGTCGCCATTATGCTATGCGTGACAGATGTACTTAGATGTTTAATGCGGAATTCATAAATCAGAATTGCTTCCCAGCAAAGTTTTGTTAAACTTGTAATCATGGTTGTGTGTAGGGATTGTTCTTTTCAGAAACAGGGTGAATGCTTTTGCTAATGATTTCTAATGAGTGTTATCCCATCACTGTAAAAACAAATGCAGTGATGGAGGGCTTCTTTGCAACTGAACCTGTCAAAGATAAAGCCAGAGTCTAGTTAAAGTAGTAAGGACAGACTTTTGATCAGTAATATACTGGTGCGTTACGGAAGAGAATCTAGTTTGAACTGAACCCAACTTGCATTCTTACAGAGGTGACTGGGAGTTTTAAAAGGAGAATGAGGGAGTAGGGAGGGGAAACAGTGGGGGCCTGACAGAGTCAGGGAGGTGAAAAGTTACAAAGAGTTGGTCATAGAAATGCGATTAGGCCAGCTTTGTCTGTTGGCTGGCCATTTTTGAACTTAGGATCCTGTTGTTGCAGGAAAAATGGGGTGCAAGAGGATGGTCATGCCCCAGGTCTCGGGTGAGTCCCTGGGACGGGCCGCCAAGTGAGGGTCCTTGGCTCTGTGTAGGGAAGAATTCAAGAGCTAGCCACAGTAAAGTAGACAAAGTGTGGGCCATCTCAGAAGGCAAAAGGTGGCCCCCAAATATGGGGTGGTTTGTTTTTATGGGCTAATGAGTGGGAGGGTTATTCCAACAATTTTGGGAAGGGGCAGATGTTTCCAGAAATTGGGCCACTGCCCACTTTTGGCCTTTTATGGTTGGCCTCCGGAAGTGTCATGGTGCCTCCAGGTGTGTCATTTAGATGCTGATGCATTACAGTGAGCATATAATGAGGCCCAAGGTCTAGTGGAAGTCAAATCTTCCACCATCTTGGACCTAGCTGGTTCTAACTAGTTTATGTTGTGTCCTGTTCTTAATGGTTGTGTCATTCTTTTAAAGGCAGTGCCTTGCCCCCCTTCCTTCCTATCTCACTGTCCTTCTACAGAGACTGGGAGACTGAGTCCCTACCCTTCCTAATGATTACATTTCAAATAAATTGTCTTTCAGGTGCATGAAAAAGACTTTCCCCAGTTGTAGGAGATACATAGCACATCTCAAAGGGACAAAGGAAGGTTAACAATCCTAAATCCTTTTTAGTAAATGCTCTGAGAAAGAGAGGTCTGGGGACTACCTCAGGCATTGGCTAAAATGAATGGCAAATTCTTTTGGAGGCCTTGAGGGGCCTTTGTTGGCTTGTTCGTTTTTGGTGGGTTTTGGCAAGCATTTTAAGGGGGGGGGTGGGCTAGGGATATAGCATTGTGAGCTGTTAGAACTATGTTAGAGTTTACTCAGGTCTTTCAGTGTGAGGGTGAGTGGATGAAATATTTAGGCAGAGGATCTGCAGTTTTTAAAGGCCAAAGTTGAGGCCTAATCGAAAAAAGGCCTTAGAGGAGCCTGTCTACTCAAGAAGAGAGTCTGTCGGTCCCTATGCATTGTATAGGGCTGCAGACAGAACACACACACAGTTTTGTATTCTTTCTCACCGAACATATGGTCAGTAGCATTTTCTCTATGCTTTATGATCTCCACACATTCATTTGGGAGACAGCATAATGGCCCACAGAGTGGTCACCTCACAATTTACTTCTCCTTCCCCTCCCAGTAGACACTCATGTTTTCTATTGTTTAATGATTAAAATTAAACTCTTCACTCATGTGTTTCCCCCACCCCTCATTTAACTGGAATTATTAGGATTCGGACAACAAGAAAGAAATTATCAACTGTAGGGCTGCCACGCTTGAAAGACCTTTGGGTCCTATAGTTTTCTTTTCTTTTTCTCTCCCTCCTCCCTCCTCTTCAGCCCAGCCCTCCCCAACGTTTTGTATGTTGGCACAGGGCAGCAGAGTTTCAACTGGATGATTCCCCCAGAGCCCAAGATAGGAAAGTGTCTTTTTATATTCATTCTGTTTTTGGATAAAGAGAGGATACATATGACATTTTATCTCTGAGTTGTGGTGTGGTCAGCTAGTGAAACTGTGCAACTCAGACTGAGAGTTGAGCCCATGTGCTGGGACTCGAACCCAGCCTAAACCCAGATTGGCACTTGAACCCACAGTCTTTTAACTGAGATCACCCACCTGGTTCCAGGACTTAATGAAGCTCAGGTTCTTTATGTCTCGTCACAGAAAGAATTCAGTGAGAGACAAAGTGATAGGTAAGAAGTGGATTTATTTAGAGAGATACACATTCCATAGATAGAATGCAGTCATCTCGAAAGGCAAGAAGAGCCTTGGGAGAAACACATTCCACAGACAGCATGTAGGCCATCTCAAAAAGTGAGAGGCCCCGAAATATGGTGTGGCTAGTTTTTATGGGCTGGGTAATTTCATAGGCTAATGAGTGGGAGGATTATTCCAACTATTTGGGGGAAAGGGTAGGGATTTCCAGGCCCACTTTGAGGCCTTTTATGTTTAGCCTCTGAACTGTCATGGCACCTGTGGGTGTGTCATTTAGCATGCTAATATATTACAATGAGCATATAATGAGGCTCAAGGTCTACTGGAAGTCCAGTCTTCTGCCGTCCTGGACCTAGTTCATTCTAACCAGTTTTCGTCATGTCCTATGGCCATGTCATTCTTTTAAAGGTTGTGCCCAGCCCCCTTCCCTCCTGTTTCATTAGGATAGCACATTTCAAGGGATCAACACTCTGAAAGGCTACACAAAAACTGGGAGTTCAGGCAGAGAATAGATGGGAGAGGAAGGCATTTAAGGACCCTGAAGAAAGAGCGCAAGGTGCATTGAGGAGACCTAAGCATGCCAGCCATAGCATTCTACACACTGGCGACTGGGCTCAAGAGACTCCTGAGCAGATCGCTTTACAAGACTAGTGTAAAATGAACAAGTTGCTTTCCCAAAGGTACATATCAAGTTCAGTGCAAGAAAGCAATATGGTCCCTACCAGCTTTGTTATACCTTTGTCAGCATTTCTTTTGCTAATTTAATAGGAGAAAATTGTATCCTTTAATTTCACTGTTTGAGAGGGTAATATAATCTCTGTTCATATATTTCTAGTCAGATTTCCACTGTGGTGAATTATACGTTGATACCCTTGCTCATAGTTTTATTTTAAGAAGCAAATAACAATTTAACAGCAATTTTTCATGCCATATGTTATGGGAGAAAATAGTAATAGAGAATACATATCAATAATCCCTTAAAAAGAAATTGAAATGTTTAAGAACATTTGCTTTCCTACAGTGCTATGCTTAAGATATACGAGAAGCATACAGGACATCTGAGCAGTTGGTCAAGTAGCAAGTAGTCTTAGGGAAAGCAGTAATTTGTCATGTGGCTAAGAAATATCTGCGTGCATATTCAAATGCAAATGTATTAAAGAAAATTTGGAAAAGCATTTTTC